AAATCGATCCCCGTACCTTCTCCATCCTAACATTTTATGTGAAAATACGCCCAATTTTTTATTATATGTTTAGGCTGGTGATGCAATAATTTATGCGAATGCATTGTTAGATTTTCTGGCATCACGTTATGTAGCAGAACGCTCGCAACTGATAATTTTCATTCTCGGAAGTGCTTTGCCATGCCTATTGATTGCATTCGTAGTCCTCTACATCATGGTCATCGAACTGGATTGCTGTATATATATGAAATACTATGCACGACATTGGCGCCGTACAGGTCATCTGCCAGAGCTGTTAAATATTCATAACTTTAATAACGGTAAGACTGAATGATTCATTGACACTTTTGAGTTAAGAAATGTAAAGTTTTTGGTCCATCTGTTGTTACTCATTACGGTTTTTTTCTTTGTTACTCGATATGATGCGTTTTTGTGGCAAAAGTTGATGTTTTCAAGCTATTATTCGGGATTGGGACCTTTCTAACAATTGAGTGAATTAGTGGAGGGGCGAGGGGGGGGGGGCAACAGCAAAACAAAAAGGTTGAAATCCTTAGTGTGGGAGAGGATATGATAGCCTTGATTCTTACCTGAGATCGTAGAACTGAACACAGAAAAACTGAAGGGGCCTGGTATGTATATTTTTTAAGTGGGCAGTTCAGGTGCAGAATTGCAGAACCTAGTTTAAAAAGATTTCCGGAGCGCAGAGAATAAGATTTCCTCACTAACGTTGATTGCGCAATGGCAAGTAACTCTGTACTGTTACTGAGGTTGAGTATTTGAAATTTTGTATGGGACAACTAATTTCTCTACGATTCGTTCATTAAAAAAAGTCTACTGCTGCAGACTTTTTTCGAAGCAGACCTCAAAATAGGATGGTTTTTATAGGCACTTAATATATCATTCGGGCTACTTTCGAGGCGCTTCCGCCTCTCGTAGAGAGTGAGTGACCCATGCTTCCCGGAAATTTGATGTTTTCCATGCTTCCGATAGTTCAGAGATTTATATCACAATACAGTCGGTTCGTATTGTTTTGGCGCATTTTCATATTGTTTTGGCGCCTGTCACTAGAATGCAATATTCTAGCCATGTGCTTCCGTTACAGGTCGATTGGATCCGGTGTTCAAAAGGCGGCGTCTAATTGCAGAAACAATACAACGTCTTGAACGAAAATCGGCAGCATCATCGCCTGAAACAGTGGACAGGTGAGAAACTGAAAGGGGGAGGGGTAGGGGAAGAGGGAGGGGAGGGTAGGTATGGGCAATTTTTTTTGAAAATACGATAAACCGAGAGCTGCAAATGAAAAGAAATGTTGCATCTCAGGATTATTTGACTGGAAAAAGAAGCAACTCAGACTGTGGAGGCTTGCTGTTCCAGTGTCTGA